CATGTCAACTTATATTTCATTTATGAGAGTTTAGAGTTTATTTAAGCAATAAATATTTGATCGGACTAGATGGAATTATCTATCGGTCGGTGCCATTAATAATAGGTAAATAAGTTTTACAAAATGAAATATTTTTTTACCAATTTCAATATATATTATATATGCAATATTATAATAATATAATATAGTAATAATATAATATATATTAAATATTATATAGCATAGAATTATATGTCATATCTCAATAATTGAAGTAACTAGGGAAGTAGTAATATAAAGAAAAAATAGGGAAATAATAGGGAAGAAAAAATATGTCAAGTTGGGTTTCTCACTTCATCAGGTTTAGATGGAGAGACTAAATGGAATTATTTGTCAATTTATTAATAATAAAATAATAATAATAATAATCTTTTACTTATTCTGGAACGAATCCCTTTTGAATAATTAACAAGGACGGAAATGTGAACTTTTGAGCATCAGATATATACATGTATTTAGAAAGTTAACTAATAGACATAATAGAGAAAAAAAATAAAATAAAAATAAAAACATTTATCTTCTAGATTAAATCGATTAAGAAAAAAATAAATAAATGAAAGAACAATGAGATGAAAATAATTTAAAACAAACTGGTAATATCTATACATATTTGCAGAATTTAAATACAAAGTAAGATTTTAAAAATACCGTAAAAGATGGCTTAAACATTTTTCTATTGTATTGCCTCAAGAATATAAAATAAATAACATCTAGAGTGATCAAATGGCCTTATACTTGAGAACAAAAAAAAAAAATTGTTTTATTTGTTATACTTGTTTTTAACGAGTTTATTGAGTAATGATACAATCTATCAACATTCATACTATATATACATAAAAAAGTGAAATAAATATAAATAATTTAACTAAAGAAAAAATAATTACATACATAAAAAATAGAAATAAATAAAATATGGTTGAAGTTGAGTAAAAATAAAATAATTAAAATATATTTTTTATATTATATTTTTATACAGTCATACCCATATTATACTTATTAAATTTGGCAATTAATATTATTAATTTATGCTTGCTATTATTGCAATCGTGGACTAGGTGATCCATTTTCCTAAGGAGAGACTATGATCGGAAGAGATGGTAGAGAGGAGGAGGAAAGATGCCGGTGGATCGGCGGCCCCATTGCAGAAGAGGTTACGGGGCGATGGCCTCAAAGTCCTTGGCCTGCCTCAGGTCGCTTACCTCCATTCTTTTTCTTATTTTTCCTCTCCTCTCTCTGTTTATTTGTTCCCCTCTTTTACGCCCCCATATTTGGTCGATTTTTGTACCCCCACCATTTCTCCCCATCACCTTCGCCTCCATGGTTCTAATTTATTTCGTAGAGGACTTTGGTTTTATTTTAGAGACACCAAGTCGCACAAGATATTTGTTGTCGGCTGTTATGCGGTTGGAAGTCGACCTTAGTTCTATTTATATCGGTTATCTAAACCCATCTCAGTCGGATTCTGCAGAATATATTTAAATATATATATTATTCATAAGTCATAAGTTATCTGAAATCAATTTTTAAGTATGTATTTTAGGTGAAACACTACTGGAACATTTTATTCATTATCGTTCTCCATTATTAATACAATCAATGGGGAAGCTTGGGTTGAAATCACCCCTCCCCTCCCCAGATTCCACTCCAAATAAACAGTTATTAAATTGAATATTAAATTATTTTCTTAATCTAAATAATTAAATTTATATTTCAATTATATTTTTCTGTTTCCTGTATTATATACAGTGGAGCGTAGATTATCCGTTTGTCTAATACTCTTAAATTATTCGGAAAAACCTTGTTTAACAAAAAAATAAATAAAACTGTTAAAATTAATTTTTTTTAACTCTGTTTTCTTTTGTTTTAAAACTTTGCAGCTTATATTAAAGAGATGAGATTGGGTTATTTTTGGTTTGGATATTTTATATGTATTATATATTATATATTTAAAAGAAATTGGAAATAAGAAAATGGATAGTTGATCATCTCCCTTTTATTTAATTAGATTCCAGTTTTTGTTCTGAAATCTACAATTTTCAACATCGCTATATATTTCGCCTTTTTATCGGAGACCAGTTTTACTTTATGTATTGAAAGAGTATCATTTTACTGTAGCATTGATATATTTTAAGCTCAGAATAATATTGGAAAATTTTCTTTATTTCAAAATATACAGATGACAGTAACCTATTGTGTGTTACCGCTTTATACTTTAAATGTTTATTTATTTGATTTTGATGTTGTTGTTATATACAAACATATTTTACAAAATATTGAGAATAGTATGGGTCTTAGTTGAATACAAGGATGTGTCTAGTGGAACAATGGGGGAGGGCAAAACGCTATAAGGCATTTTTATAAATATTTTTTTCTTTAATTAAATGATATTTTTCCTGCACTCTAAATATATTAATATTTTAACTATTATGGTATATTTTATTGTTTTTATAGAACAGAGTTCCGAATGAAATATTTACGCCTATTGGTTGAGTATAGCAAACTAAATAAAAGTGAAAATGGTAAATATATGCCCGTCTCAGATTATATGTTCCCATTGAGTTTTCGGGTGAAAGCTTGCACAATAGAATTCTTATGATAATCCTTGGGTACATTCAGGGTAAACCCACTGTACTATATATGGATTATGTTCATAACGCCTGCATATATTTTTTAATAATAAATAATTAATGCTCAAGTAGAAATCAAAACAAGGTTCTCTCTCTCCTCCTGAGCGTGCCTCCTAATGATTATTATAAAGGGGAAACATTTCTGATTAGCGGCCCCCTTGTTAGAAAGTAAGAGTGAGTGTGAGAAATCTCTCCGGCGGGGGAGGCTGATCTCTGCTTTCTAACGATAACTTTCACCCACTTTCGTTTTCTTTAATATTACTTTCATTTTTATATCTCCCAAAAAGTCATGGAGATATTCTTGCGCCTCTCCGCCCTCTCTCGAACGTTCCTGGAACCTATAAATCAGCCTGTGCAATTCCCGGTGATAGATGCCACCAACCCTTTTCTTGTCCGTTCAAAAGAGACCTCAAACAGTCGCAATAAATCATGGTTTGGCGACCATTGCAGAATAGTGCCTAATAGAATGTAACTGTTACGACATGTTGCAGGTCAGAAGAGGTTCCGGTCGTAAACGGTCTCAAAGGCACTTTGGCTAAATTGCAAAAGTGCAAAAGTTGACAGGGGTCGGGAAAACCGCGATGATTTCCAGTTGCCTGTTTTCAGGTTTTGCAAAACTCTGGTAAAACTATAGGTTGATATGAGAATTAACGGATAAAAAGGGTAAGGGCGGATCAAATGTCATATTCGATAGCGTTTGGTTTCCAATTACATGGGTCTGTTAATACGCTAGTCTAAAATTAGCTTATCAGTTAGTGATATTTAACCGTTCGGTGGATTGTATATATTTTTTAAAACATAATAAACTAATATGCTAATTCAACGTTGTTTTGAAATATTAAACTATTAAAAGATATCAATGAATACTTTTTCTCTGTGAATTTCAGTGAGATTAGGATCCTCTACAATATTGATGTGGAAAATAAATTTATAAAATGCATATATAAAAAAACTTTTCATAATAAAATATTTTACAGATATCATAATATGTGGACAATTTTTTTATTTGACTGTAGCACATCTGACATAAATGGTACACCGTTCAAAAAATAAATAATATTTTATCCAAGAAAAATTATAAGAATAAATCGTATAAAATAAACAAGTAAATGTTTTTGAAATAGTATTTAGACCAGAAAATTATAGGTGTTATATATGTGTGTATACATATATATAAACTTTATAAACCAAATTCAAAGCCTGGTCTTCCCGAGCACGCTGAACCCTTCCCCAGAAATCATCGATCCAAACCTGCAAACCTCATATTCCCGGCAAACCAGCTTCCGTTTGGATTCTTATCTCAGATGCCTAACAAATATATTTTGAAATCAATGTTTCCCTTGTGTGAAGAATAAAAAAATATTTTATAAGGATATTGTTGATACATTATTCATAAGACTAGAATTAAGAGATGTATTTTATCAATTTTGTTTTTTTAAATTTTCAGTTTCTCCCCTTAGGACGAACTGCTATGTTATTACTACCCACCGATCTACTCCATTTTTTATTTAATAAAAAAAAAGTGCAGACTTTTATATCGCCCTGTACTTTGTGGCAATGCATTATGTAATTTATTGTAGCCCGGACAATGATATGCTTGGTTTACAGTTCACTTTCGTTTTCTCTTAGTTTTTTCCCGCCCTCTTCTCTTCGCGCCACTCTCTCTTCCCGCTCCAGCTTTCTAGCGCCAAGGTCGTCGCACCCTCTGTCAGCCATAACTCCTCACACAACAAAATGTTTTCTGATATGTGTTTCTATTTATTCATAAAAATTTGATTTCTCGAAAAAACTTTTGGTTCTGCTGCTGTCTATGTGTGATTAATTACTAAAAAAGAAAATGAACATAATCTATTCATTTTTAACGTTTCTCCCTGCCCTAAGTTGTTCAATCGATGAAAACATTCCTCGTATCTTTTGAAATTAAATGTTTATCGAGTTACAAAAGAAACCTCCGCTGAGGAGTGTGTGGGGAGCGAGGCGTTGAAGGTCTTGTTACTCAACAGCTCTCGGTATATTGACCGAGAGATCTCCTTTCCATTTTGGTTAGAAACTATATCGAAATTAAAATCATTCTTTCATTAAATCATAAAAATATATTATTCATTCATAAATGTCTGCAATCGGAGATGTTAGTGTTTGTGGCACATTTTGTGTTCGTGACTGTCTCAAGAGTTTACTTCCACTCGATAGAGTCTTTCCTCCTCTTATCTTGTTTTTAATTTTATTTGCTGATGTATTATTTTGGCATTGTTAGTCGTTTCTTTCCAACATAACGTTTAATTTATTAGTGTTTTATGTGGATATTGTATAAGTATATGCTTAATTGAATTATTCACATATGATTACTCAATTCGTATTTATTTTTTTCATTAATTGAGAGTAAATGTTATGTAAAGTATATTGCATTTTTTTTTCTTTGGCAATTATTTGTTAGATTTTATTAAGTAGTACTTTTATTAAGAATGGAATATGCGGTATATAGTACGGAATATTGTATAATTATTAATGCAAAATCAGAGAGTTTTGATTGGAGCTTTATAGTTGTGCAACAATTGAAATCGGTATTGACAAATAGGATCGGAACTAAATAATGATGAGAGGTAAACAGTTTTAGCCCGAGCGAGTTGGTTATTGTGTTGTTGTCAGGAGTGATATTTGCAGGAGGTGGGGGCGCGTGGCCTTGGCCACTGCTCTGGGTAATTCTGTCAAGGTCACTGACCTCGGTGGTGGGGGTAGCCAGCGGGCCAATGGGAAGTGGCTCCGCCCCACCACCGAGGGGAGGTAGGGCAACGACCCTCCCCCACCCCGCTCCCCCTGAGCATTGAACTTGCTGTTCGTCCTTTCACTCTCTCGCCGTAACCCGACCTGTGAGGTTCTGCCGAGGAGTGCGCCGTTATAAATCATTGACAGTACAGTGCCGAAGTTTTATTGTGCTAGTTGTGAATGTGTTGATAAGTATGCTCTACGACAACAGGGTGCCTCAGCACCACTACCAGACAGCCACCCTCCCGCCTAGGGTTCCGGATCAGTTCGTCCAAAGTGCCGACGCCCAGTTGAATATAGGTCTGTGCTTCCATCTGTCCAATATCACCCATGTCCCAATGTCTTCACACGTCTTTTAACGTATTCTCCATTTATGTTGCAGAATTCGACGGAACGACAGTTCTGTGCCGCGTTTGCGGTGACAAAGCGTCCGGATTCCACTATGGTGTACACTCATGCGAAGGATGCAAGGTAAGCTAATAGCGATATTACAATTTAACTTATGATAAGCAAGGAGGAATCAGTGAGAGACAAAGGAAATGCTGGGAAGAGCGTTGACACCGCAGTCAAGGCCAGGCGGTCTTGAGGCCACTGCGCTATTATTAGCTCGATCTGTCACTCCTTTTGTCTCAGATATTTGTATATATAAATTTTTTACTACAGATTAGATATCACTTTGCTCTCAAAAAGCGCTTCTGATAACTTATTATCTTACAATTTTAACAATTATCTTCAAACTCAACAGTTAACTATGCAATATATACCTGTATATATTTTTTAATTAGCATCATTCTTCAAAATGGATTTTTAAAAATTTCAAAAATATCTCCACAACAATTCTACAAATCATGTTTTGTCAGTTTTGACGGTTCAATTTCTTAGGATTACTAAAGTTTTTCTTTCATTTGTTCATTTGCAATATCCAAAATATTTCAATCCCATCGAATTTTCAATAACTTGAATATATATATATATATATATATATATATATATATATTTAGTTAAAAATTTCAAATATAAAGGGGATAACACCCCGTATTATTATAATCCCAGAGAGGGATAAGACAGAATCCGTGACAGGAGGGAGGTGAAGGGGTTAGATAAGAGAAGCGTTACGTCACTACTTTCACCCCAGAAAGAAAGTCCACCCCTTTCTCTCGACTCTCGCTTTCTATGGACGGGGGAGGTACTTTCTCCATAGTTCAGCCGATCTCCGCTAGACTGCGCCACTGTTGCGTTCCCTGTATTAAGTCGGATTTCGAATTAATTTTTTCTTTTTTTTATAGTTTTACATGTATTTTTTTCAATAGTAATTTTTTCTGATCTAATTACGTATGGTAATTTTGTGGTTTCGGTTCACCTTTAACAGTATTACTAATTTTTTGTCTTCCTTATATGATATATTGATTACAATATTCCATTACATAATATGTTAAAATTTATTTAAAGTGTTTTTTTGTAGAGATAGTTAATTAAAAAAATTACTGTATGATAAGTTTTTAGCTTTAAAAATATTTATTTCTTTATATTTTTTTAAAAATAATTTGATTATTTCGTTGATTTTTTATATGTGAATTAGAGTTACAACAAGTTTTCTAGTTGCCTATTTTCTAAGTAGGGCATTAGAAAATGTTGTGCGGGTCGGGCATATGTCAGTGCCGTGCTCGATCTTGTACACTTTTATTAAGTTTATTAGGATTTTTTTTATAAAGTATTTTTGTAATGAAATTTCATGTACTTAGATGGTCAAAATGGTAGATCTTTTAATAACAAAAAGAGAAGGACTAAAGACCCTTAGGCCTAAAAAACTCTTGAGTACCTGTTTTTTTTTTCAATATAATTACCCTTAACCAGAAAAAAAAATAAAAGGGAGAAAAAAGGGACCCTGACATTAAATAGATAGACACCCCGAGGTTAGTGCCCTATCTATGGTCCCTTACCCAGAACTACCTTGGGGTTAAAGACCCCAACGCCCACCTTCACGGTGGATATCTGCCATCCGTCAATCTTCCTCGGAATCCTGTTTACAAACTAAGAGTTATTGACCTTTTATTGAGGAATAAAGGGGATATGTGATAAGAACGCCTTCGTAACAAATATTTTTACTCTTTTTATTTATTTATTTTTAAAACCTGTTCAATATTAAATAGAATTGACAAATTATCCTAGTATCTGTTTACCTGTGGCGCGATACGAAAGTACAACGAACCCTCCGAAAGATAGCGAGATTACGCGCTAGGATTGCAATGGCAGGCGGGCAGAATGCACTCTCCAGGGTCCCGAGATAACGGTGCAGTGGGGTCGGAGACCTGTTGGGTCCTTGCACCGGTGACGTCAAAGTCCCGTTAGACTTTAGGGGGGTACTTAGTATCTGTGTGTATGTATATCTATATGATTCATCATATTAGTAGTTGTTATGTAATTATGTAACATGTTAAGGGTAAATGATCTGATTTGTCTTGTTCACCTCTACTATACTTGATGTCCCAAGTGCATTCCAGTAAAAGTAAAATAATACAAAAGCAAGTTAAATTGAAAGTATATAATAAATAATACTTAAGGCAAATATAATAATGAATCTTAAATTGTCTTTAGTTAAAAGAATAAATATATTTTTTTTATATTATCTATTATTATTACATTAATGTTGATAATTATATATAATAATGGAAAATTCATATTGATTTTATCGGAACCATTTTAGCCAGAGCAGACTAGACGGGTATAGTCGTTGCAAAGAGTGGCTGTAGGAAGTGCAGTTATGCAGTGCATTGACCGCGAATGCCCCGCGCTCCATGATACAGCTAGTCTGGGGTCTCGTCTAATTTTTTAAAAAATATTTTTATATTCTCTTATGTATTATTTGTCTTACTCTTTTAATTAAAAACATTTAAATATTAATATGATATTTAACTCTAACTGATTACTTTCATTTTTTTTTAAATTGATTTAAAAATAAGAATTATATTTTTAAAAAAATTAATATTATCACTGAATCAGTTTGAAAATATATCGATAACTCAATATTTTTTTTTTTTAATTTATGTAGTAAATATCACAGTGTACATGTTTGTATAACAGTAGGAAAACAATTGATATTACAATTAGGGTTTGTGAAAAGGGGATGGTTATATAAGCCAGAGCGAGGAAGTGACGAAGACCAAGGAAGGCGCTTATTCAGAGAAGGATCTAGACCGATGGAAGGCGTTGAACCCAGCGGCAGATCTGGGACGCATGGCCCCTTTATTCTTTTCCTTTTATTTTTTATTTTATTTTTTTATCTCCTACTCCTAGACCTCTGTTTACATCCGAAATCTCTGCTTGTTCCAAAGTCGATGGCCTCCTCGCGCGCGGTAAGATCATTATACAGATGTACCATTCTTACAAACTTTCGTTTATCGATAATAGATTCTATTTATTCGTGCTGGAGTTGGCGAGAGTTCACCGAACTCGCTGGACTAATTCGGTTCCTTTTTATAGAACTGGGTCGGGACGAATATGGGCCAAATAGTCTAGGCTATAAAGAAAATAATATACCGGGGTCGTTGCACCCGCTGACCCTATATCTTTTTTTAAATAGTTCCGCTGAGCAGGGATTTTTTTTTTTTTGGAATATCTAGTTATTTTCTGCTTTGAGGCATGGTCCGGATATTATGAAAAATGTCGCTTATATCTCAATATAAAAGTTTTTATAATTTGTTTATTAAATCTCTGAAGATTGATTTTAGGGAGTATAGGCTGCGCAGGGGAAAGTTGTTGAGGATGATTTTACTTATTGTTGTAGCGTTGCTAACTCATCTGTTGCCATGAATATATTGCACTGAGTTTCGGGGGTCTATTCAACCCCACCAGTTGATCCACCAACTAGAGGTGTCGAAAGGGGAGAGCGACGCTGGGACGTTTCGGCGGTGGTAACTTACGCAACACGTACTTTCACCCCCTCCAAAGGCGGGCAACGACCCCGGTGTTGGCCAACAGGCGACCCACTATCGTTGCCAAAGCCGACCTACAGGCCATTGTCTGCCTATAGGATCCGAGGAGAAGCACTATGTCTGAGTTGCCATGTCAAATGTCTCCTTGTGTATGTAATTGTAAGGGATCCTGCATAGGAAATCGGTCTAGTCGAAGATTCTTTAGTTTGAAAGCAATTCTCCTTAGTTAAGTAATAATCGCTATCTTAATTATTAAAAAAGGAAAAGTTTTTTTTCAATTATGTATATTGTGTTTGGTTTAGAATTTCATTTTCTGGACCGTTCAAATTTCTAGGATTCGCTTGATTGTTAGCCAGGTGTATATTTCGGAGGCCCAGAGCCACTGTACACTAAGGGGGCCATTGACGCCAGCCGTCCTTGCCTCAGGTGAAAGGGGTTGTCCAGATGGATTTGCACAATCCAAACTCGACATCGTCCTACAGCGCCGTGGCACAGTTTCACAACTCAGCCTACTTACCTCCCGCGGGGCGTTGAACCCGCCAAAAAAGGCCATTCCTCCCCTGTATGCATAATCACGGCTAATCTGATGCGTGAATTCCAGGAACGATATGCTCAGCGTTTCCAAGGAACGGGGCAGGATATATAATACCGAGAAGTTCCAGCTTATCAAACTCCCCGAATGTGCTAAGGGGATGACTTGACATTGTCTTGCATCTATCTATTTCTATTCTCATCTCGTTTTTCCTCCCCGCTTGTCGAGGAGAAAGGTCTAGAGAGCGAACCGATGGCTAGGAAGGAGACTTGCGGATGAAGAAAGAGTGTCGACAGACTTACGCCAATAGCGGAGAGGTGGTAGGGTCAGCCGAAATGTCAAGTTTCACCTAGAGCTCGCTGGCGTTCTGTTTTCCTAGAAGTGGGGTCGTTGAACGGTCGACGAACTCGCCCCCCGCGAAAGTCCTTACACAACAATCCCTCCTGGATCAATCTCTTCTCACTAATTAGTGATACTTCGCTAGTGTTTGGTCGGTGTGCTTCTTAGCTTTCTTCAATTTACTTTTAGTTTCCTTTCCGGTCCGTCGTTTAGATCTCACGATTGCATCGAATCAGTATCTACTATTTTTTATACAAGATTTAAACACTCAACGAAACACATTCGTCTTAACTTTCACGTTTTATATATATATATATATATATATATATATATATATATATATATATATATATATATATATATATATATATATATATATATATATAGTTTTCCGCCGAATCTTTCTCTAAATAAAATTAAAAGTTTAATTTTTTTTTTTTTACAAGTAACCATTAGGTAAAAATCTTATTTGGATTAAGGAGCTATGAAGATGCGGCGTCGGTGTGTTGAGGCCGAAAGTCTGGTGACCCATTTTGGGAAACGGGAGCATGGGGTGAACAACTTCAGTCCACGCTGGGCATTAACCAGGTCCCATTGCAATTTTCTCATCACAGGCATCTCTTGTAATATTACCGTATGGGAGTGTAATCTTATATGAGAATAGTATTTTTTTTTAAATTAACATTCGCTAGTATACAAGTTATTTCTGTTAATAATTTATTTAGGTATATTACAAAACTCACTTTAAAAAAATGTGGCAAGCGGTATTGGAATTTATAGTCTAAGAATTGATCCTACATAAGCGACCTGCCTCAACGCTTCCATTCTTGAGCTATTTCTCTCCTCGCTCGGTCATAACGGTGTCTAGAAATGTTTTAATGGATGGATTGTTTTCTGTTTCGGTCACTATATATTTAAATAAAATAAATTAATAAATACTACCGATTATCAATAAAAAAATAAATTATGCTATTATAATTATAAAATTGGAAAACTATTACTTAATGATTATGTAGATGATTTATTATGTAATATATGTAAACAAATCTTATATGATTATTTAACAAAAAAAAAATGTTTGGTTCGATATTTTATTGACTTTATTTATTACAGTTCTTCGATTTAATTTAATGATATACAGAAAGGACGCCGCTGCTTACTCCTCTCTCTCACGCTTATTCCAAGAAATACTAACCTTCTACATCTTGAAATCACACTCGCTGATTGTCGGAACTTCTGACAGGTGTGAGTTGGAGAATCAAGATAAAAAAAAAAAAAAAAAAAAAAAAAAAAAAAAAAAAAAAAAGAATAATGATATCAAAATTTTGAAATTATTATTACACTTCTATCTAAAAAATATGTTGACATCACACTCGCTGATTGTCGGAACTTCTGACAGGTGTGAGTTGGAGAATCAAGTAAAAAAAAAAAAAAAAAAAAAAAAAAAAAAAAAAAAAAAAAAAAAAAAAAAAAAAAAAAAAAAAAAAAAATAATGGATATCAAAATTTTGAAATTATTATTACACTTCTATCTAAAAAATATCTTGACATCACACTCGCTGATTGTCGGAACTTCTGACAGGTGTGAGTTGGAGAATCAAGTAAAAAAAAAAAAAAAAAAAAAAAAAAAAAAAAAAAAAAAAAAAAAAAAAATGAAATTGAAATTATAATTTTAAATTGAAAAATTAATTTTAATTTTTTAACACTTTTTAGATAAATAATTGTTTTCTATAATTATGAAAATATTTAATTACAAAATACTAATGTCAAGATTTTATTTTATTAGTTAAACTTATAAAATTGTGTAATATTTTTTTATTACTTATATTTATATATTTCATTATTCTTGAAATAATATTTTTAAAATAAAAAGAATTTTAATTTTTGAAGTGTGTTTGTGTTCTAATCACCTTCATTTTATTATTATTTTTTTTTTTGTTTCTTAAGAGGGAGAAGTAGTTCATTATTTTTTGTTTTCTGTTTCTTTTTATTTATATTTAACCAAGTTATATAGGTTAGGAGAGGGAGATAAAGAAATACTGGGAGTGGGGGAATATCTCTTACGCAAGCGCGATCTGGGCCATGCCGGGGTCATCGCCCGCTTATCACTGTTTACCGCCTTATCAGTCAGGTGTATTGGCCTTCTTATCTATTTCGAGTGCCCCAAAGATCTGACTGGGAGAGGAGGGGGGGGAGACGAATCAGACCCAATTTCGAGTGGGTTTTATGTACACATTTTTTTTATTATTATTTTTGCTACTATACTTTTCCTGCTTGTGTCAAAAAATCTGACACCTTTTCATGGAAGTAAAAAAAATAATGTATATATATATCGACGAGTATCCTTATCTCAGATTTAGTAGGATTAAAATGACATGTGTTGATAAAGGGCAGTTTCGTTCTCAGTCATTTGTGATTGGCTCAGCACGACGCGACTGCACTCATCATGGTTTATATTCAGGTATATACCCATACACATATATATATTTTCTTATTCAAACATAATACATACATACATAACAATACATACATAATCTATTATACATAATAATTATTTTTAATTAAATATAATATAATTACATTATAATTTTAAAAAATAATTTCTTAATCAATAACCATATGAAACAATAGCGCACACGTTCATATATATCTACATATAATAAATAATATATGTATTTTAAAAAGAACTGATACCTCCTTGGATTTATTTAGATTTAATATTTATATTATTTATTTATTTTATATTATATATATATATATATATATATATATATATATATATATATACATTTATAATATAATAAATTTATATACATAAATTTATATACATATATATATATAAAGGAGAGCAATTTAAATATTTTGGGCATTATGGGTATGATCTTGTAATTTCAAATAACTTCATCCCTCCCTAAAATTCCTGTTTTGGACTCAGTCATTTATACAAATGACGTAGTCATTTTTTATATTTCTGAAATAGACCTAGTTATTTTTTCTGAAAGTGGATTTATTATCTTAGCGCGGAATGAAGAAGTTTCTTATGGGGGTTGGAATAGTTTCATTTAATGGAGTTGTTATTGGAACATAAAGTTATTAAAACAATGTTATCAGTCGTTATCATTTTATTGTTTATATCGGTTTTGATATTATTATTTTGTTTTTATTTTTTGGGGGTTGGTTTTTTTTTTCTTTTTGTTAATAGACGGCTCCATTCCATACACTTTTATTTAAAAAAATGGTTCCAGGCCCAAAAATAAGGATATTAATATAGCAACAATAGTAGCCGAGACGGGCCTGGAGAGGTGGGGGCCGGGATGTGTAATGGTTACCTCAGCCTCACTTTCCCCGGGGCGACGCCCCCTAACTGGGCCACGGGGCTCAGCTCAGTCGGCCCCCAGCTCTCGCCCACTCCGCATCGACATGGGCTGCTTGTGTGACGACAATGTTCCGTTTCAGGGTTTCTTCAGAAGATCCATCCAGCAGAAGATACAGTACAGACCCTGCACGAAGAACCAGCAGTGTTCCATCCTTAGGATAAACAGGAATCGCTGCCAGTACTGCAGGCTCAAGAAGTGCATAGCAGTCGGAATGTCCAGGGACGGTGAGTGATCAAAATTTTTATTTTTCGTTTAGTCATACCCCTCCTCCCATGATTTTTAAATATATTTTTTGCTCATTTTTCAAATCCAAAATCATTAAAAAAAAAATAAACATGGGTTGCCTAAAAATAAAATAAAAGTAAAAATAGCCTCTAATGTAATGTTTGATAAGAAGGGTTGGGAACAAGAAAATTATCTTATCTCATAATATCATTATTTTTTTGCTATAAAAAAAATATTATTCTCAATAATCCATACTTTGTCCTATATACTAATTATTTTTATATTTCTATTTTTCTAAACAATTTTAATTTGATCTGATTAAATTATTTATAAAATTAAATTAAAACGAATTAAAAAAAAAAGGATAGTTTAATAAAATAACCTCCTGTCCCCTCTCCCTCCGTGACCAGCTAGAGTGGCCTAATCGATTTTATATTTAGAGCCAGTATCGATATTGAACGGTGAGATAGTCCCTGAGCTAGATATGTGCCCCAGTGTTGCCAGTTGAAGGAGGGTTATTGGCTTACATAAACAGAACTGTGTCGCGGGGTCGTTGGCCTGGCTCCCCCCCCCTTGACTTTGTCGATTGGAACCAAGTAGGGGGGGGGGGCGCATTCCAGCCTCTCGAGGGTTCAGTGAGCTATCTGGTAGGAGAGGAGCTGGATTAATCTTGTTGGATAATATGGTTGAATATTTTACCGTACGTCAACAATAAAAAATATATATTTTTGTCAACCTTAATAAAAAAATCAATAAAAATGTCAGCTACCGAAACATGAATATTTTCCAATTTTATCTTATCAATCTTACATTTTTTGTATTCATATTGCGTATAAAATCATGACAGAACAAATTAAATCATACATTTTTAATAAATAAATTTTTAAAACCCTTTACTCTTAATTTTCATACAATAAATAGTTCATAACCTGAATTACATTTTAACCCACAATATTTTTATTTATTATAATTATACAATCTGCCTTACTAGAGGTCCATTGTATCCATGAACTTTAAATTTATTTTCCTGTATTTTTCACATACAGTAAATTGAAAATATTATTTTATAAAGATATATTAAAATGTACATATAAATCATAATAAATTTAATTTTTTTTTCACTATTTAAAATCAAAAAATCAAAATTCTTAGCAAAATATTGCTGTAATAATGATTCTATAATTTAATTTTAATAACATGTTAATTCACTGGTATAAAATTAAATTTTAAATTTATTAAGCTGGATTAAAAAAATAAATAAAATAATTTTAAAATAAACATCTATATATATATATATATATATATATATATATATAAATAAATACAAACAAATTTACTTTTTTTACACAATATATATAAAATTAAGAAATTCGAATCATCATGGATGTTGGTAAACTATTTATTCTGAAATATATATTCTATTATTTTATTTTTATAAAATCTTAATTCAGCAATATATAAATTCGATTTTAAATTATTGTTATATTAACAACGAAACAAAATTTGTATTTTAAATATTTTAAAAAATAATCTAAAAACCGTTATCTTAATAAAAAGTAAATATTTATTTATCAGCCTGTATAGGTAAAATAATCTTTACAACTTTCACTGATTTCGATATCATCAGAACCGTGCCTTGGTATTTTATATATAATCATGGAATTTTATTTCAATTATATGTGTTCGACGGGAATAAAATGTATAAATGTCCTGTACTAAAAATAAATTGCCTAATATTCATTACTATAATATATTTTATTTTGTATATTTGCTAAAAATATACATTCCTAATATATATATATATATATATATATATATATATATATATATATATATATATATATATATATAATTAAAAGCGTTTCAAATGAATATTTGGTTGATCTCATTCTAATCTGGGGCTTAAATGTTGCCAAAGAGATACAGATACAAAGAGGTTGGCAATCGGGGTCAGTGACTGTATGCTGCCCCGGTCGCTAGCGCCCCTGGTGAGCGTAGCCCAAACTACGTCGTACGGGCAGTGCTCCAAGCGGAGAGTCGTCGAACCTTCTCCTCCATTCATTGATCTTGGGCCCCCTCCATTTCGACGAATAATATCATCAATGTTTGTTTCCGCCCTTTGTTGTCGCTCAACTGTTGCTTTTCTATTTACCTTATTTTGCTACATTGCTTGTATGAGTAAGTAAATAGATAAATTATAGAAGCAGAAAAAATAATATCGTTATAAATAAACCGGCTATCATAGTTCTTTAAATACTCATATAGATTAATTCAAATATAATATAATAAATAAATAAATTGTATCAATTGAATATTTAGAAAATTAATTTGTGTAATTAAAGTTTTATATCACAAAAAATAAATATGTCCCTTCACAGTTTTAGTAATTAAAACATAAAAATTATTACAATTTACATTTTTAATAAATAAGTAGCTGTTGTGTAATATATACAATATTTTCATTTTTTACGATTTCAAAATTATTCCTTGCTTAACCAGCATTATTCAAATATATATGTATAATATCCTAACCAATCATATAATTCCCAAGTTTATCACTGCTTTTTTCAAGGTTTTTATTATATAACTACCAATAATACACGCGCAAATAATGAATGACATTGACTGAATCTCCTACCAGTCGGTTCGAATAAACACAGCAATAGTTGAGTTGAGAATTTAAATTGTTTCCCGAGACGAAGGCCAAGGACGTTATGCAAAACTCGTGTCCTCTAGCTGACACGTAAACCATTCTCATTAAATTTATTTAAAACAAGGACATCCTTTTTAATTTTTTTTTTCTCTTCCCCTCCAAGAGTTTTCCTTGAGCGTTTCCTGTTCTGTACGGAAAAGAAAAAAAAAATCAACCGAACGTTTGATCGGTGACATATGACGCGATTTTGTTCATAAATGTATCTTCATGTAAGAGATAATAGGTATAGTCACAATTTATCAAATGTGGAAACCTTGAATGTATTGCCCGTATTGCGCAACTAGACTCACCTCACTGCGACGTTGATATTTTTAACTGGTTTTGACCTTTGTTTCTGCTTGACCTTCTTCCACAGTTTTAGACGCCTTTATATTTGGCTCCCTACCAACCGGATCAATTCCTTCTGCCCTCTTAGAGAATTTTCTGTAAAAAAAAAAAACAGAATAAAATTGTGTGATTACCATAAAATGTATTCATCTGGATATCGTGGGTCTCTTAATATATCGGTGTGTATTTTATTATATTTACTTCGAATATATTTGTTTGAGAACATGTTAATTTAATTGATAATCGAATAACTTCGTTGTACGTTTCATTCAGTTTCACTATCAATGAAAGCAACTGGTATGAAAGAATGATTTCGTGTTGGCTTGACCATATTCCTGATTTTAAATGATTGTTTTTGTTGTTTTTTAACAGAATTATAATGCTTGTTTGATAAGATAATTGTTGAAATCGTTACCCAATGTGACGCCACAAATTATGACGCTACCTCAAATAGCCGTATTTTAACACAATTCGTAGTTGACAGTTGTAATTGCGTTAATATGAGAATTAATAGAAACAGTTTAAGGCGTATATAAAAGAAGAATGGATGAATTGGTGTAAAACACAGCGTGTAATAAGAGAGGCGTCCTTGGCGGTGGAGCCAGTGGGGGAAGATGTAGGTCGATAGCGACTATCAAGTTCAGGGTCACTAGCGTGCCGTAGTGAGGTAGAGGGGGAAAGGGTTAGGAGTGGGGGGCGGCGTGGGGCCCAGTCAGTTGCTGTCCGACTGTCGTCATGGGAGTATCGCTCTTCTACATCATCAAGAGTCCGAATCGAACGCGGACGGTATAGCCAGTGTCCTGTGACTTTGTGTGCCAAATAGTGTCTGCAGTTACCTCCGCACTCAGTTACTAGATCATAGTGTATTACACGTTACCTCAAGTGTCTTGTGCGTAGTCATGATTACTCAAGACCTTCCCATACTCAAGGGCATCCTCAACGGCGAAGTCAAGTACCATAATGCACGTACGTTCCATTCCATGTTGTTCATTAATATTAACTTTATATGGTTTGGCTTGCCGTGCTCTGCTATGCCGCGGAGGTCGTGCCGTTTAGGAAGCGACCTTCTTCTGACCTTAGCACTTGGCGGAACTGGCAGTGAGGACACGTCCTCTCTCAGTTCACATCTTTCGATCACACTTCTTCCTCATTTCAATTCCTCGATTGATGCGATTCATTGTTATCAGCAAACGTCATAATTTGAAAATCTGTCAAAATCGCCACATTTTCCACGTGACAGTCAAAATTACTCTTATCACCCTATTATCATCGAAAATTAATCCCTATTGAAAACTATCGATAGCCCAGATCCGTTTACGCATTGTTTTCTCATAGATTTTTAAAATAAACTCAAACAATTCCTTCAACACGCCTTTCCGTGTTTGAGAGGCAAACAAACCTAGCCGTCAATCGTGATAGTTGAGCAAATATTATTCCGAAATACAATGAGCAGCCTTGCTCTGCTCACGTACGTTTGTATATTTTTTGTTTACATTTCGAATTATAATTATAAAAATTTAACGTAATCCTGACCTTGTTTATTGTATCGTATTGACGCCAGTAACGATTTCGTAAATATGTTTATCGCCCTTGTTTGGACATCTCTAACATTTATTATTGTATTGTTATCGCGTTACATCTTAGTTATCGCTTTATTTGTTGCATTATATTTAAATAGTGGCATTCTAGCAATGACCCGATAAGAAGGTTCCGAACGAGTAGCTCCACTTTCTCCACTTTCGTTGGTGAAAGTGAAAGAGAACGACCCATAAAGGCATCGCTCCGCCGGGATCGACTTTCGACTGGGCCGGCAGAAAGTGGGTCGCGGACCCTTTAACGTTCGGCAGCTGCCCGCATCACCTGCCCTTATTAACGACCATTCTGCCCTTACCGGCGTTACTTCTACTTCCTTGTATACTTTTTACGCTATTCAAATCGGCATCTGGCCCTTATTGGCAAACAATTGTCATCATTTTAATATTTTTACAAATTGATATTATTAACAAAAGGTTCAATAATAAATATATTGTCTAATTATCATTAAATAATCGAAGCAAAAATTACCCCTTTAATGCCAATTCCATGGCATTTCCATATCCAGGATCTCTATTATTTCCACTTTTTGAGGTTTTAAAATTATGTAATTTATTATTGAAAAGGCACTTATAAGAATAATTTTAATATGTGGTTTCTCTTTTTTTTTTTTACAGCGGTGCGATTCGGCCGCGTTCCTAAGAGGGAAAAAGCCCGCATCCTGGCCGCCATGCAGCAGAGTACCAATTCCAAGTGCCAGGAAAAAGCCCTCGCCGCAGAACTGGAGGATGACTCCAGGCTCCTGAGGACGGTTGTCAAAGCTCACCTGGAAACCTGCGACTTCACGCGGGACAAGGTGGCCCCGATGATCCTCAGGGCAAGAGAACAGCCTTCTTTCACCGCATCCCCGCCGACCCTGGTGAGTTAGAGTTATTATATTTATATTAATATTATAAGATATTCATCCCATCAGTCCAATGTTGTGTCAGTAGAGAAATAAGTAGCTTTGTTTTTTGAATAATAGAGGGAATCGGATTAACTGTTCTTTGGGAATATTTCATTGCAATATTAGGATCATTAAAATTTATCATGTAAGTCGATAATTAGTAACTTCTGGTGTCTTTTTCTTGCTCATTTAAATAATTTTTATATAATAAAAAAAGGAATCTAATAAAGAGGATAATGGATGTAATTTGATCCTTTAGCACATCTAAAACTTCGAATTTTTTCTTATGGTGCAACACTATTTTTAATTATTTTGCTATTCCTGTACTGAACAACACTAACAACAACAACTAAGCCCGCAGCGCAATCAACTATAAATAAAGTTCGCCTAGAACTTTCGTAAAGTTACACGACAAAGGCGCCCGATGGTGTCACTTTCAAACCCGATTATAAACCACCGTCGTATACCATCTCAAGGATATGCTTAAATCTACGCAGCTTTCCACTTCTTCAGAATCTCTTCCTACCAGTTATATAAATCCGCTATGATCTTGTTTGTAGGACGGATAGTCGCAAATATTGTTGATATGGCTTGGCCTTGGGATTTAGGCGGAGCAATGCCCTTCAAGCTATGTCATCGACCAGCTAAGGACCCTCGGGTGATGGGACACGACCGAGTGGCCGCGCGAGGAAAACACCGTATCAGTCATTAACCTTGAAAGAGACAAACATCGAAAACCCACAATAGATAAGTGCTGCGATATCTCGCCTCGAAAATAGAACCGACCGCTGATAGCGATATGCGACTCTGAAAAGTTCAACCGCATCTTATCTCAATGTCGCTCATAGCCGCTCCTTCAGAGCATATTTTAGATATTTAAATTTTCTTCTTAATTCGACTAAGTTTTTTTTTTTTTTTCTTCGCAGGCATGCCCCCTCAACCCGAACCCTCAGCCTTTGACAGGCCAACAAGAACTCCTTCAAGACTTTTCAAAACGATTTTCTCCAGCAATCCGTGGAGTCGTCGAGTTCGCCAAGAGGATCCCCGGATTCTCGTTACTTTCCCAAGAAGATCAGGTCACTCTCCTAAAGGCCGGTGTCTTCGAAGTATTACTCGTCAGGCTCGCCTGCATGTTCGATACCCAAAATAACTCCATGATTTGCCTCAATGGACAAGTTTTGAAGAAGGACTCCATTCACAGTGGCTCTAATGCCAGGTTCCTGATGGATTCCATGTTTGACTTCGCAGAGAGGTTGAATTCGCTCAAACTGACCGATCCGGAGATTGGCCTCTTCAGCTCCATTGTTGTCATTGCACCTGGTAAATTGACGATTTTATTATTTTTTTTAATGCATTTTAAAATTACTTTCTAGTTTTTGTTTATATGGTTTCAATTGTGTGACTTTATGATTAATTTATATGTTTTTAATTTGTTCAGATCGACCAGGATTAAGAAACACAGAGCTTATTGAAAAGATGCAGAATAAGCTGAAGTCTGGTCTCCACATGATGATGGCTCAAAATCACCCTTCCCAACCAGGCCTCGCCCAAGAACTGATGAGGAAGATTCCAGACCTCAGGACTCTGAACACCCTCCACAGCGAAAAACTTCTCGCTTTCAAAATGACAGAACAACAACACCTCGCCGAACAACAGCATGAGATGTGGGGTTCTATGGTAGGAGAAGAGGAGAGCAAGAGTCCTGGAACATGGAGCTCAGGAAGCGAACTTGGAATGGAAGAAGTGAAGAGCCCGCTCGGTTCAGTCTCCAGTACTGAGAGCATGTGCTCAGGTGAGGTAGCAAGCCTCAACGAATACCACAGCCATGCTGCGTCAGCACCCCTCCTCGCGGCAACGCTTGCTGGCTGTCCGATGCGACACAGGGATCATGAAATGAAGGTGCCGCACAGGTTCAGGAAACTGGACTCCCCCAGCGACTCGGGGATTGAATCGGGCACAGAGAAAGTGGACAAGATGACAAGCAGTGCACCAACTTCAGTATGTTCATCCCCTAGGTCATCTGTAGAAGACAAGGAAGACCACCATATCGAAGATATGCCTGTCTTGAAGAGGGTACTTCAAGCTCCACCTTTGTATGATACCAACTCACTAATGGATGAGGCTTACAAACCGCACAAGAAGTTCAGGGCATTGAGGAAAGAGGAATCAGACGGCGATCAGAACTCGACGAGTTCGCTATCGATGACCCATTCAACCCTGGCGAGGTCACTGATGGAAGGACCCCGGATGACCCCTGAGCAGATGAAGAGGACGGACATCATCCACAGCTACATCATGCGGGGGGATCACTATTTTGGCCAACAGAGCGTCATCACCACCACGGCCAGCCGCGGCTCCTACGTAATCGTCAACGCCCCCACCCCTCCCCTCTACATCCCTTCGGTGTCACCTTCGTCCACTTCCAGCCTCGTGGAGCTCCAAGTCGGGACGCAGCCCCTCAACCTCTCCAAGAAGACGCCTCCGCCCTCTCCCCGGCCCAAGGCATTATCATTAGAGGCGTAGGCTGCTGTATAGTACAAAGATAACGTGGTACAAATCAAACCCTTATGTGATCTCCCCCTGTATATATTTTTCTTTGCGGTCTTTTGTATGTCGTTCTGAACGAACTCATTCTTATGGTGCCACCTTTATGTTTAATTATTTCTCATGTGAACATTGTATTATCAACAAACCAAATAATTTATTGGAAGAAATCTTTTTTAGCTATTTTAATATATAAATATATATATATATGTATAAATATATACATAATCGTGTGAGAATTATTTTATTTTTCTGTTGACTTTTAATTGTAAATCTTTTTAAATAAGTGTTTTAAACATGTTGTGTAGTTAGTTGTTGTGGTGTACTCAATTTTATCCTCAAAGGCAGATTGTTTTGGGAGTGACTATTATTACTATCTAAAAGGGCTTTGCCTAGCCTACAGTCATGTAATGGATTTGTAATTTGGCTGATAAAATTCGATAACACTCCAAAGCTCAAAGGACACTCCTTTAGAAGGCTCTAAGCACCAATCCTTTATGTTCTTTTATAGTTATTATATACTAAGTATACATAATAAATATATATAAATGTGATATATTTCCGTATATAGTGGGGCTTGCATTTTATTTGTGTGTGTATGTTTAGTCTCATCATATATGTCTCAGAATAATTCATTTTTAAAAATTAAAAAAAAGAAGAAAAAAAAACAAAAATTGTAATTTTAATACAAAACTTTTATTTAACTTACTGTTCAATCCCTCATTTGTAAATATAAATTTTGAGGTATTTGAGACTGAAAGGGAAGGCACGCCTTTGGTTTGGAGCCCCAAGTGAGTTCCTAACAAAAAGGTTCTCTGCGATTAATTCGTGGCCAGTAACAAATCAAGTTGAACCCACCATTTCTCATGATAATCATTGTATAAAGTCTTTGTAAAGAAAAAATTTCTAGTTATAATATATATTATATACAAAAAATACTTAGGACTCCAAAGTTTATATTATTTTTGTGTTAAATATTGTAAATAATGAACATAATAAAATATTAATATAAATATATTCTTTGCTGTTTATAGTGCAGGCGTGGCTTCCTATGCATCTTTATTGTCTAATTGTCTCCTATGATTTAGATTTTTTTTTTCTGGGTCTCGAAAAAGGCTGAGAAAAGAGTATTTTGCGGGAAGTGCCCCGATTTCCTATGGAATTAAAGGGGCCAACGTTGTTGTCGAAGAGGGTCTTTTTTTTTTAAATAATATAACCAGCATAAAAAAAAAAAAAAAAAAATGTAAAACAAGACAAATCATGTCCAACTGTTGGACAGATCATAATTTCCAATGTATGAGTTTTGTATATGCTGGATCGTTAGATTTTATTTTATTATTAACTACTTTAGGAATATTTTTTATTTTCTGGTTATATTCAATTGTATAACTATTCTCTTATGAATAAGCCCAGTGATAAGTTTTTTGAATGTTTGATATTGTTGTGTATTATTATTGAGAAAATCACAGAGTAAGGTGTGTGCGTGCTTGTGAGTTTCATTTTGTAAAGCTTGAAAGTTTTTTTCCGAGACATTCAGATTAAAATGTCTGGTGAAATTTAATCATTGTTTTTTATTGAAGCACATCCTCATACCTATCCTTCCTTATAAAATAGTCAATCAGAGTAAAATAAAGAAAATTAAAATATTTATTTAAATTATGTTTTATTCGTCAATATTACAGTCTGAAAAAAAAACTGAAACACACAAAAAATATATGAATTTTAAATGGTATTTTTTCAAAGATAACCTTAAAAATCAGAAAAAAAATCATCAGACAAGCACAATACGTTACCTTGGACGACAGACTTTAAATAAGCGACTGAAAATACTGTACTCATTTTTTTCTAAATCGAGATAGAACGTTCGACAAACACGAAATTCATACACTTACGTACTTAAACCCATCTGGACGTATGCCTCTCAGATTACTGCAAAAAAGACGAACTTATATAAACTACAGTTATTTCAATCCAAAATTTTACGACTTAAAACAGGAACTCCTAGGTGCTTCAACAACAAAACTTCACATAACGACTCACGACAACCAACTGTAGACCAACACATACGTACCTTCTACTCTTGTTTTCATTGCAAACTACACGGACACACAGACTAATAAACGACGTAGCCACGACTGGCTTGCCCATCAGGAGGTGACTAAAAAGGAGTTGGATGAGAGATCTCCTCAACTAAATCAAGGAAGTAAATAATGACCAGGAAGGGATGGTATCCTTCCTCATAATTATAATGTCAATCCTTATTTATCACAACAAATCTGCTGATTGTATATACTATGATTGGTACGAATACGTATTTGAAGGGGGAAAAAATAAAATCCACACAAAAACTATACAATTGATTGTATACTGATGGTGAAGTGTGCTAAAGCTAAAAGATGCAGCTAACAAATCATAAATAACATTAAAATAACAAAATTCCTATTTATTATATCACTGGTTGATTATCGATCGTACGATCCATTGATTATGGATTGTACGACTATTAGGTATTAAACTGTTATTTTCCATTGCAAAGATTACTAAAATGTAATTAAGAGAGTTGCATTATCTATCGTAGACTGATCAAAAGTTGTTACACTAATTGTAAGTGGATACTGCTGGAATATCACAAAGGGGAAATTCATCAAAGTATTCACTAATTTCATTTTATATATGATTACATGATGATTTTTCTTAATAAACGGAATATTACATGAAATATTTTTATATTTCACTTCTTCTTTCACACAAGTACAATGAAATAGTATCTTAAACAATGCCATTGTCTTGGATCGGTAGAATTTAATAATTTTTCAAAATTTTAAAGTTTACATTCAGTAAGAAAATGTCATGTAATTTTCTTGAAAACACGTGTTTTACGTTAAATAATGTTAGTTTTTAGATATCATTATTTATATTTTTTCGCCACTCTCCGTTACCTTCCACATCTTTCTATATATAGATTCCATATCGCCTATATATATATATATACAGATATTTATTTATTCTTTAATTCTCTGCTTTCCAACGATATATTATACGTAAACCTTCTGACTATTATTTCCGAATATTCATTTTCGACCTGGATAAGTATTTTTCTTTTGTTCTCCTTTATCAATTATCAAATTCTTTAGAAAGTTATATTTAATATTTTTTCATAAGTCCTAACAATGAGAACTCCAAATAAGGCTTCATTTCTTGGTTCTCGGTAGATTTTATACAAACTTTTCAGGGTGGGGCAAGGATGGTTTCCATTGGTTCTTAACTCCACCCTTTTACTTCACAATAACTGGTAACACCCTAAAAGGAACTTAGCTAACCATTTACTTAGCCCGTTACTAGTTTTTACTCTGAGCCTTCCCTCGAGCCAGATATAGGTCGGTCCTTTTCTACCGGTTCCTCCTCCCTGACCCTGTTTTTGGTCCTTATAAACTACTATGATACATGTTTACAAATATTTGATATTAATGTTAATTATTTGCATATTTACAAACTGTCTAGTACTCAGGATTTCATCTCCATGGTCTATGTAGAATCAAGGCTTCAGTCCCCAAGCCCGAAGAAAACATCTGACCTATCCTCCAGGCCGAAAATCCACATAAGACCTCTTTTTTTAATTCTAGCCGTATTATATATAAATACTGAGGGTGGGGAAAGGATGGTTTCCATTGGTTCTTAACTTCACCCTATTACTTCACAATAACTGGTAACACCCTAAAAGGAACCAGTTACTTAGCCCGTTACTAGGTTTTACTCTAAGCTTCCTCCAGGGTCCCGGTACAACAGGTCGACCCTTATCTACCTGCTCCTACCTTCTACCTTGACGCTGGTTTTGATGTCAGAAGTCGGTTTCATTCAACTTGTCATAATAATTTTAAAAACACACCTGCCATGTTCAATACATAGCATATTCACCAGCTACGAAGAAGAAAAAATGGTAATTGGAGATTGACATTTTTTTCTTTACATTAAGGAATTTGTTTAAAATACTTTTTAACAAAACCAAATGTTAATGGTGACATTTTTTGTCAACCCAGTCCATAGATTTTCATCACATATATGTACAAATATTTCACCTTAATGCTAGTAATTTACTTAATTACATAACGCTATTTATACAATGAATTTTTTTTTTATTTATTCATGATATTTACAACTGTATTAAAAAATTAAATACATTAAGTAAATTTGATAACAGAAAATAATAACATGAAATGACTTGTTGAGAAACTACCCACTGGTAGCACTCTAAAAATAAAATGTATTTACAATAAGAGATCTCGAGGCCATCTTCTTTTCAGACGCCTCGGAGGATTATCAGGAATAGAAGAGGAAGCAAGGTTAGAGACGAGAGGATTCGGATGGTTCTGAAGTTTATAATGGAAGGATTGGTATCTGGATTGGGCCAAATCGGAAACATAAGGAACATTAAGGTCATTATGGATTATTTTATTGGTGACAAAGTAAGGAGCATTGAGGATTTTCCGAAGGATTTTGGATTGTAAGGATTGGATACGAGAGGAATTCGATGGCTTAGTGGATCCCCAAAGCTCAACTCCGTAAGTCCAAATAGGTATTATTGTAGTCATGTATATAAGTCTTTTGTAATTAACTGGAAGCTTAGAGCGTTTGCTAGTAAGTGTTGGAGTAGTCGGAAACGTCGAGCGGTTTCTTGTCGTTTCAGTCTGGTATGAGGATTCCAAGTTAGACGTTTGTCCAAGGTATCGGATTTGTTCAACAGGGATAAGTGAGGTATTATTAAAGGATACTGTGGGACATGAGGTCATAGGTTTACGTCGAAGGGTAAAGGTGATTTGATGGTATTTATTAGAATTCGTTTTAATCCTCCAGTTTTGACACCATTCTTCAAGGCTTGTGATGTGTGATTGAAGAGTTTGGGATGCAATGGTTGGGTCATTACTACCGGATAGGACACGTGTATCATCGGCATACGTGGTAATAACAGTGTTAGGATGGGA